ATCTCTCTGTATCATTTTTTCTTCCTATTTTTTTGTTTTGTTTTGTTTTGTTTTTAGAGGATTCCCCCTCAAAGGGCTTGAATGCTTGCCAGAGAGAAAGAGAGACAGTGAGAAGGAAAGTGAGAAATCACCTCCCAGGGGAGATGGCCACACCGCAATCTCTTCTCTTCTATTCTCCTTCTGGAATTGTGGGCATGCGTGCACATGTGCCCGGCATGAGTTTCAAGCTACCAGGTCTGGGACTTGAACCGTGGATGACCATGCAGGAGTCCAGTGACATAACTGCTATGCCATCTGCTGGCCCCAATATCTTTCTATATCATTCAAGATTCTTCTACATTATGGTTTTAAATAGAAATATACAGATACTATGATAAAAGTATCTCAATTCCACTCTGATGAATATTTGCAATCTTTATAGTCATATTTATACAATCTGTCTTAAAAAGTCCTCTGGAGTATAATGCAAGAAGTATTATAGAATAGTTAAGGACAAACAATAATTTTTTAAAAATAATTTATTTATTTATTTATTTATTTATTTATTTATATCGGACTAGATTGGAGGAGAGAGAAAGGAAAGTGAGAAAGCAAGCCATCAGATCTGGGACTCGAACCATGGTCAGCTATGTGGGAGTCCAACACCCTTAACCACCACACCACTTGCCAGCCCCAAAACAATACTTTCTAATGTTTTGGATATATCTGGCCATATTGCTCACCAGAAAAATTGCTCTGATGTATCCTCAGGAAAAACACATTTTTTTTTTTTTTTATGGGCTAGCCTGGTGGCATGGTGGTTAAGGTAAGTGGATCCCACTTGGTCGACTGTATGAATCCTGGACCTGGTGGCTTGAAAAACACACTTAGTGTGCCCAAATCCTAGGAGGAGAATGGAAGAGAAGGGATTGCAGTATGGCCATACACCCTGGTGAGAGTTTCTCACTTTCCATTTCCCTATCCCATTCTTTCTCTCTGTCTCTCTCTGTTGAGTGCATTGCCCTATAGCAAATATAATTTTTTTTGTCTGTTTGATAAGTTAAAAATGTATGCTTTACTATTGATATTATTTTCATTTGAGTATTAGTAATGATATTAAAAATGTTTTTAGGAACCAGCAGGTGGAAATTAGTATTAAAAATGTTTTTAGGAACCAGCAGGTGGTGTGGTAGTTAAGGTGCTAGACTCTCAAATCACTGACCATGGTTTGAGCCCTGAACCTGGCAGGTTGGCACTAACACAGGGCACATGTGTTTGCATGCCCAAAATCTCAGGAGGAGAATGGAGGACAAGGGATTGCAGCATATCCTTCCCCCCGGGGGATGATTTTTCACTTTTCCTCTCACTTTCCCTCTCTGTCTCTCCAGAGAGCACATGTGCCCTATAGCCAAAACCTAAAAAAAAAAAAGCCAAAAAATAAATATATATATGAATTATTTTTACTTAACTTTATTAATTATTATTTTTTTTTTGAGAGATTTTCGCTATAGGGCACGTGCGCTCGCCAGACAGACAGAGAGAGACATAGAGACAGAAAGCGAGAAATCACCCCCCGGGGGGATGGTCACGCCTCAATCCCTTCTCCTCCATTCTCCTCTCGGGATCTTGGGCAGGCACGCACACGCGCCCAGCGTGAGTTTTAAGCCACCGGGTCCGGGACGCAAACCGCGGTCGACTATGTGGGAGTCCAGTGACATAGCCATTACGCTAACTGCTGGTTCCCTTTATTATTATTTTTAAACAATTATTTTATTTAACTTTATCATTACTATTATTTTAATTTGACCAAGGAGTGATGGAGAGGGAAAGTGAGAAAGCAAGCCACCAGGTCTGGGGCTTGAACCATTGTTGGCCATGTGAGAATCCAGTGCCTTTAACCAACATACCACCTGCCAGTCCCCTTGTTATTATTATTTTTAAAATTTGACCAGAGAGAGACACACACAGAGAGAGAGAGAGAAGAGAGAAGAGAGAAAGTGAGAAAGTAAGCCACCAGGTCTGAGACTCTAACCACAGTTGGTCACGTGGGAGTCTAGTGCCTCTACCAGCAGGCCACCTGCCAGCCTCCTTATTTTAAAGCTTGTTTAAAAGTAAAGTTGGCTTAAAATAGTCCATTTAATTGAGAATACAATATTATTGTTATAATGTTACATGTATAATGCAAATCAGTTCTTACTACTTTGCATCTTTACATTTTTTTTTTCTTTTTAATTTGAGGGAGGGAGAGGGTTGGGAGGGGAAGATAGTGAGAAAGCACTCTCCAAGTGGGATAGACACGTTGCAACTGGGATTTTGGGCAGGCATGCCTGGGTGCCGGAGCGTATTTTTTAGCCACTATCAGGGACTAGAACCATGCTGTTGGCCATGTGAGATCCGACTGCCTTAATCGCTAGACCATGTGCCAGCCCACCTGTATCTTTTTTTTTTAAAGAATTATTTTATTTAATTTTATTCATTGTCATTATTTTATTTTATTTTTAAAAGTTGACCAGAGAGAGAGAGGGAAAGTGAGAAGGCAAGCTGCTAGGTCTGGGACTTGAACTGTGATCAGACATGTGGGAGTCTAGCTGCCCCAACCACCATGCCACCTGCTGGCCCCACCACCTGTGTCTTTTAAAATGAGATATTTGAGGGCATATTTTACCTCTAATATATTGATAATGATGATTCATTGAAATACTCCACTTAAAAAGCATGAACAAATAGTAATGAATCTTTTTTGCTGGTATTTCAAAAGCAGGCCCCGGGTCATGTTTTTAATATATATATTTCCTAAAGGGCTTTCAATGGCTATATGAAATACCAAATAAAGTTTTTACCTTTGCAAAAAAGAGAGAATATATGTTTCTTCTGGATTATGGAAGACACTTCAAGAATTCTGCCCAGTAGTACACATGTTCTACATGATCGTTCCTCTTGGGTATAAACAGGACCTGTGAGTGTGAAGGATGATTATGGCCAGGATTATGTTGCATTATATTGCACTTGGAGTTTTGCAGACCTAATTAAGTTCTCTTATCAGTTAATTCTGAGTTCATCAAAAGGGAGATTATTCTGAGTTGGCCTGACCAAATCCTTTGAGCCCTTCAAAGAGATAAACAGCAGCAAAAGAGCTTCTCTTGCTTGCTTTGAGGAAGTGAAGAGACACGTTTTGAGAGGAGCTGTGGAGAGGGGGGGTGCCACAGACTAGAGAAGACTAATGCTCTGTACGCAGCACAGGACAAAGGGGACTGTAAGTGCAGGGTCTGTCTAGCTGTGAGTAGTCTAGTCGGTGGGAAGAGTGAGGAGATACCAGCTGAGAGGGGTACATAAATGTTAAGGAGCTGGACTGTCCCTCATGGGCAGCAGAGGGGAATTGCTTTAAGCAGGCAAGTGACATTACCACTATCTTTAGAGTACTTCCTATGAGCCAGGAAGTAGGCTAAGACCTTGAATGCATTATCTCATTTAACCTATTAAATAATAGTAGCACATAAAAAAGTTACTATTATTATCCGCTCTTCAACACCCAGAGAATAAAGATTCTAGCAGTGAATGGAAGATGGGTTGAGGAAAGGCTAGACAGGGAACCCGCTAAGGCTATTGTGAGGGTTTTGCGGAAAGATGATAAGCACTGTAAATTTTTTCAAGGCTGGCTCTGCTTTGTTTACGGAAGTTTAGGGTTGGCTACTTAATGTCTTAGAGTATCAGGATCTTTTGTACAATAATGACAATAATGGTGCTTACTTCATTGGGTTGGTGTGAGGATTAAATGAGATAATGTATTATATATATTATCTAGCACCATCTCTGAGTTGTAAATAGTTGGCCTTCAAGATATATGGAATGTGGGAACCAGCAGTTAGCGTAATGGCTATGTCGCTGGACTCCCACGTAGTCGACCGCAGTTCACGTCTCGGACCCGGTGGCTTAAATCTCACGCCGGGCGCGTGTGCGTGCGTGCCCAAGATCCCGAGAGGAGAATGGAGGAGAAGGGATTGCGGCGTGACCATCCCCCCTGGGGGGTGATTTCTCGCTTTCTGTCTCTATGTCTCTGTCTGTCTGGCGAGCACACCCGCCCCATAGCGAAAACCTCTCCAAAAAAAAAAAAAAGATATATGGAATGTTACAAAGTGTTTAATAAACTTAAAGGCAGGCCAGTCCAAGAAGCTTTTATTAGGTAGTTAATAACATGGGCTTTGAGGTGTGCACATGTGTACAACAGCAAACAAGACGAGTAAATAAATAATTGAACATGTAATTTTAAGTGTAGTAGTTGCCAGGACAGAGAGATGAGACTTGAGTAAGAAAACTTTTTAAGTGCTTTTTGGTATCTTTGAAAAATAATATTCTAATAAGGGCAGCAGGTGGCCTGGTGTGTTAAGGCTTGGATCCCACATGGTTCACTCTGCAGTTTGAGTCCAGGACCCCGTGGCATGAAAAACATGTTAGGCATTTGTGCTTGTGTGCCCAAAATCTGAGCGAATGGAGAAGGTATTCTGGCGTGGACATCCCCTCTGGCGATGATTTTTCACTTTTCTTCTCTCTTGGTCTCTCTTCTGCTAATGCACTCGCCCTATGGCAAAAGCAAACAAACAAACCAAAAAACAAAACGGAAAAAAAACCCAAAGCTGAAAGTTAGTAAATTAATAGAATCTCAGATTAAGTTTGTATTGATAAAGCCAAGTGATAAATCAAAAGCAGCTAGCCGACTTGGATTAGAAGTAATAAGAAACCACAGATCTCCACGAGGTTAGTCCCCGCTTTCACAACAGCCGCTCCTGCTAAATTTACAATTTAAAATCTCCCGCGGTCGCCTAGACCTGCTGTCTTCCGCAGCACAACGCAAGCTCATCTGATCGCGAGATTTCCTCCAGGTAGCTAAATCACAGGGAAAACCTCGGCAGAGAAGAATCGCGAGACTTTGCTCGCCCACGCCCCCAGGGCCACCCACCCTCCCCGGCTCCGCGCCAGGCCCAGCGGCTCTGAGATGCACGTGCAATTGTTATGGTTCTACGTCACTGGTCCCGGAAGTGCAAATACTACTGGCCCCGCCTCCAAGATGGTGGCTGCTGGCGCGTGGTGTCGCGATCTGCTTCTGCTGAGTCTCGAATTACAGTCTTGACCGAGTCTGCTGAGCCATGGACCGGCCGGGGTTCGCGGCCTCCCTAGTGGTGAGTGCGGGGCGGTGGGCTGGTCGGAGTGCCGGGGTGCGGCAGCAGAGCTTCTGGGGGCTTCTTTGCGTTAGGGGCTTTCTTCCGGTACTGCGCGCTGGACTGTCCTCGCGGCGCTGGCTGCCCGGGGTGGGGAAGCGCGCCGGTGCTGGGCTGGCGTCAGGGCTACGTGTGTCCTGCCCCGGCGTGAGAGAGGGAGCAAGGGTAAGGGGCTAGGAGTCTTCCGCACGCCCGTTACTTACAGAGAAAAGAGCTGCCATTATTAATGAGCTTTCTGTTATGTGTTGTAATCGCTCTGCAGAACTTGGCAATACAATGTATCTAACAAACTTTACTCTAGTCATTCACAGTCGTTTTTAGACGACAGGTGTCATTTTGATGTATCTTTCCAGTTTTAGAAAGTGACATAATTATCCATTCATTCTGTACATCTACATATTCTGCTTCAAGCCTAGCCTTGGGAGAAATATTGTTAAACACAAATAGTGACGCTTTGGAATCAGAAGACAGACTTAATACTTAATTCCTTAGAACACGAGAGAACCAACACGTTTTAAAATTAAAAAGCAAAATAAGGCCAACTAGTGCAGGTGGTTAAGACGCTGGACTTCCACATGGTCGGACCACAGTTCCAGTCTTGGACTTGGTGGGACGTGTGTGGGTGTGTGCAGAAAATCCTCAAAGGAGAATGGAGTCCTAACGTCTGAGAAGTGGCCATCTGTCTGATGTGTGGGGGTGGGGGGTGGTGATTTTTCACTTTCTATGACTCTCTGGGGAGTGCACACACACTTTGGCAAAAACCTAAAAATCAAAACCAAAAATAAATCTTTTAAGAACTATTTTGGAGCCTCTCCCTTTGGGTGGCACATCCATTATGGGATGCTAGTACAGCAGTGAACAAGATAGAAATTGGCTGCCTGCATCTTCATTGTAGGGAATTGGTCAGAGGCAAACAGCGAAGAGAGTTTTTCCTAAATGGCTCTCACAGGGAGAATGAAGGCCCAGAGACATTTATTCATTTAATTACCCATCGTTTGGTTACAAGTGTTGGAGGTAATGTAGTGAACAAGATAGATTTGCTCACAAGGGTCAGGGGTTAGACTCACAATGGTGAAATGACCGTTGAGAGAAATGACAGATGAGTTAGGTTTAGGGTGTAATGGGACTGTATGGAAGGAGGAGGTGCCTTGGCCCGACTTTTGGCATGATGGCTTTTAAAAAACATATTATTGTTATTATTATTTTTTTAATGCTGGAAGGTATGTGAGTGTCTGCCTTCCTCCCCTATTAGGCCTGGTCATCCTTTTTTCCCTCCATTTCTCCATCCCATCAGAATCCTGGCCTTGTGTGTGGGTGCCCTGTGTGTTGTTCAAGCTTCTGAGGCCTGGACTCAAACCCTAGTTAGCCACATTGGGCCCAGCTTTCTCTGCGTGATACTTAACTGTTGAGCTGTAGGGCTGGCCTAGATAATAGCTTTGAGTCTAGGTTTGTTGAAGCTTGTATAAGGCAGGTTTTAGTGATTCAAAGAAGTGTTAGACTTTCAAGGAGTGTTTCTGGTTAGTTGGTGAGGCAGCAGTCATAGTTTTGTCAACTAATATTCTTGTGCCAGGAACTGGGGTAAGTTCTTTACATACGTTATCCCATTTCATTCTCACAAATAATTGAAGTCTGTTCTATTAATAGTTTTTCAATTGAGTGAATTTGGTATAGAGAAGTTAGATAATAATGAGACCAATTTCATGTGTGTAACTATTGGATCCAGGTGGTGTAACCTGAGAGTTAATGCCTTTTTTAAAAATAAGTTTTAAAATTTAACTTTATTTATTTTAATTTGACCAGAGAAGGACAGAATGAGAGAGAGAGAGAGAAAGATACAGAGAGAAAAGCAAGCTGCCAGGTCTGGGACTCTAACTATGGTCAGTCATGTGAGAGTCCAGTGCCCTCAACCAACACGTCACCTGCCAGCCCCGGGTGTGAATGCCTTTAACTGCTTTGTGATATTATTTCTGAAGTTAGCAATACTTGCAGTTGGTAAAAACAGGTGAGTGCAGGGCCAACAGATGGTGTAATGTTTATGTCGGTAGACTAGTTTACTGTAGTTGGAGTCCAAGACCTGCAGTTCAACTCCTGGCTGCTTAAAACGCACTCTGGGCACATGTGCATGAATGCCCAAAATCCCAAGAGGAGGAGAAGGGATTGCCACGTGGCCATCTCCCCTGGGGGGTGGATTCTTCCCTCCCTCCCTCTCCCTCTCTCTTCTTTCTCTCCCTCTCTCCCTTCCTCCCTCTCTCCCTTCCTCTCTCCCTCTCCCTCCCTCTCTCTGACTCTCTCTCTGGAGAGCACATGTGCCCTATAGCAAAGATCTCCTTAAAAAAAGAAAAATAGGTAAGTGCTTGAGTTGAAAAAAGTCGTTTTAAGTGTACTTTATATTAGAGTATGATACACATGCAGAAAAGTGTGGTCTTATTTTTTAAGCTTATATTTTTCTTCCACAAGAGTGAGCGAAACACAGGGACTCCCAGCAGGGTCTTCACACTGCAAACCCTCCCCAATCTCAGACAATCTTACTGTCCTAATTGCGCAAAGAGTCCTTGGGATGGGGACCCACAACCTTTCCAGTGGGTCCAGCTTTCTTACTGCTGCACCTTTCTTGTCCCACAAAAATATACCTTTTTTCTGTTTTAAAAAAATTAAAAAAATTTTTTTTAATTATTAAATTTTATTTATTCTAATTTGACCAGAAAGAGACAGAGAGAGAGGGGGAGAAAATGGGAAAGCAAGCCACCAGGTCCAGGACTTGAACTGTGGTCGGCCATGTGGGAGTGTCCAGCACCTTAACCACCACGCCACCTGCTGGTCCCAAAAAATATACCTTTTTTCAATGAATCTATAGAGGGTAAAATTAGGATCAGTGGTTGGAAATTTCAGGAAGTTAGATTTCATTCCAGCTAAAGAAAAAATGTTTTATTCATTTAGCACACAGCTTATCTGCCATGTGTTTACTGGCTCCTGTGGTAGCTTATGGAGATACAGCAGCAAACAAACCAAACCCCATCTCAGGCAGGGGGAGAAGACCAGCAATTGAAACAGTTGTAGCACATGGTAAGTGCTAGGGATGAAATGAGCTGAAGGTATGATAGAGTAGAGAAATACTGGAGAACCTATTTTAGGTGGCGTGACCTGGGAAGTTCCCTGAGGAAGTTTAAGCTAAGAGATGAGGAATGGGATGGGGCCAGACATTTGATGAGGCAAGTAGAGTTATGGGGAATGGCATGTGAAGATCCTTAGGTGGAAAGAGTTTAGAATGTTCATTGAGGGATGAACCCTAATGGGTAAGGGTAATGTGGCCATGGGTGATACCAGAGAAGTAGGCAAAGCCTGCTGAGGTTGTGTGTTGTGGGCCATGGGACAGAATTTGGATTTCATTTGAAGTATAATGGAAGCCATTAGGTAGTCTTATTATCAAAGCAGTCCAAAAGTGGACTGGCTACTTTTAAATGTAGGATTGCCTTTAGGCAGGTTGAACACACCTGAGGAAGTTTTGTTATGCTTAATTCTGTGTTATCAATACCTGGCTCCATTGGTAGGGTCATGTGGGATCCAGCTTCGTTCACCACCTCTTTTGCTGGCCCTGGCGTTCTTCTTCAAGGAAGCAAAAAATGTTCTTGCTGCAATTGGCTTTTAGCCGTACTAGGTTACAGGTGAAGAAGCTTTGGCAGTTTGGGTGCTATGTGATGTGAAATATTGGTAGGTCTTGATTTACATAATAGTGTAGGAGTACAAAATGCTTGCTGAAACTGCAGAATTACCTTAATAATCAATATAAAAAATGGTTAGTTCATGACTTGAAGAATTTTTTAAAAGAATTATTTTATTTAACTTTATTAGAATCATTTTCCAGTTTGATTGAGGAGGGGAAGTGAGAAAGTAAGCCATCAGGTCCAGGACTCGAACTGCGGTCAGTCATGTGGGAGTCCAGTGCCCTTAACCACCTGCCAGCCCCCATGACTTTAATAATTAAAAAAAAAAAAAGCATTTAAAATATCTACTGTAAACTATAAATACATAGGAAAAAAGTCATAAAGGTAATATTTAGTACACTATAATGCATTTATTTGATAAAGATTTATTTAATTTTATTTGTTTTTAATTATTTTCTAATTTGATCAAAGAGAGAAAGTGAGAAAGCAAGCCACCAGATTTGGGACTTGAACCGTAGTCAGCCATGTTGGTGTCCAGCACCCAACCACCATGCCACCTGCCAGTACACTACAAGTTAAAACATTAGAAAATTAAGAGCTTATTTCTTTGGGAAAAAAACTCAAAGAGTAGTTCAAACATTGCTTGCTTTCCCTCATGTAACTTGTAGAACAAGCATCTTTTTAATGCCTCGGCAAGTAGTCATACTGCTTTCTAAGTTTGAATCCAGTTCCAACATTTTATCCTCTGTTCTTTCAGTTTTGAGAGTTCTTTTCATGTCAAGACTTTCTGGCTATCCTCTGGGATAGCTTCATCCTTTCATCACAACCCCTTTCCTCATTTATGTTGTTCACTTTGCCTTCAGTTATTTCCTTTGGTCGCATATCTAGGGTCTTTTGTATGTGTCTGTATTTCCATGGCCGGCTGTTTCTTCTAAATACCCCTATGTTTGATTCCAGTGTCACTCTCAGTGTTACTACTTTCCATTTCTGTACTGTACTTTCATCTATATTGATCGGTTCTGTCTTACCCATTTTTGGAAAATATATCTATTACTGGAAGGTGAAAAGATAACCATGCTTTCTCACATGTGCATAAATTGAATAACAGATGGGCAATGACTTCTTTTATTTGAGTTGTGATTTTTGGACCGAGCTGGTGGAGTTTGCTCTCTTTGCAGTTACTTACAGTTTATATACTGTGACAACTGAAATTTGACCCCTGTTGCTGGGAGGCCCTTGTTATGAACTAAACCCTGGTAACTGAAATTCATGCTTGTAGTGTTTTTCTTTACTTAGCGA